TACTCAACGCTAACATGCACACAGTTTGCTGTTCAAGAGAGAATGTTATATTTGTGATATTTAGAGTAGGATTGTAGATCGTAATAATGTGAGATCTACGTTTTTAAGTGAACGTAACAAACTTTAATGAACATAACTGCGTAGAGGATGGTAGGAGAGGACATCTTACTTGGAGGCTTACAGATACACTCTTGATCCATCTGATCTGATGTGACTATGACATGGACCACATTTCACATGTTCATCGCCTATATCAAGAGTAAAGGTACAATTCCCTTTACTCTGCATTATTCCCCAAGTTATTTCACAGCATCCCTTTTGTTTTTTCCCATTAACAATTAACCATGAATATTTAACATTTTACTCTACTTTGTCTGGTGTCAATCCCAGCCACCCCCCTAAGGACCGTACTAAGTCTTGTGTACGTGAGGTTTTAATTTCTAACAGTGTTTTTGTTTCTGTTGGAGGATGTGTAGAATATATGTGCTTTCTTGTCCTTTCCTTGGATGGCCAACACATTGGTAGAATAGAATGACAAGCTTTAAATGATGGCTGCACACCAAAAATTGACTGTAGCAGTGGTGAATATCAATCAAGGAAAAGCTAATTCATTGTAGAAGATTCTAGGACTCGAATGGTTATACTGTTATGTGAAGGAATGTCATTAATAAGGGACCAAAGATTCTTGTTCTCTCTCTGTAGTGTTTAATTTTGAAGTCTTTCTTTAATTGAAGCAGTGTTGTCTTCAGCTAGATATTCACTATTATCTTGAATTCTGATAATTGCTAAAACAAACAGGCTTCTCTTCCGTCAAAGCATCTTTTGTGTGCCACAGTGGTGAGAACATTACTTGACTCAGTCCAAGATTTTTGCAAGTCTTCTGCAAGCTTCTCATTTTCAGCCTGCAAGGCTTGATTTTACTGTTTGATTGCTAATAGTTGGATTATTATTTCAGTATTCTCACTGAGGTCATTAGACTGTGATAATTCTTACTGAGTTCTGAATTGTTCAAGCTCACTTCTGTGTTCAGCTTTAAGCTTGGTGAAGGCCATCTATCTCTCCATGAGTTCAATCATCTGACCTGGTAAGCCGAAAAATTTCCACTGCTTTCATGGCTTGCTGATGTCAATGCAAATCAACAGTTTGTCCATTTTCAATATTAATATCAGAGACAACAGGTGCAGAGCTGGATGAACACAGCAGGCCAAGCAGCAGATGCTTAATTAGTTATTAGTTATTAATTATTAATTATTATTAATTATTAATTAACTAATCATTAATTAGTTACTTTAAGTTGTTAGACTTCTTGTTGGGCCTTTACTGAGGATTTAAGTTTTTCTCTGAACATGTCAAGAAAAGTTCTCTGTTCACGATTATAAAAGTTTGTTGCGTACAGTTGGCTTCTGTTTGTGTAGGTGTGACAGTATCCAGCTTGTCTGAAGCTTCAATGATCTTGAAGTTGTTTTGAAGCTCTGAGTGTGTCATGCATCTAGCCTATTATTCTGATCTTAACAATCCCTGAGCCATAAAAATTTAATGGAAGATGGTTTGTGAATTTCTGATCTGAACCTCTAATAACTGAAAGGATCAACATCTACGCTGGTATTCAATTTGAACTAGTTTTTCTCCCATTTACTTTCATCACTGAATATCAGAACTTGTCCCGAGGGTGTGTACCCTCCAGGAAATCAAAATCTTGCCGTTGGTCAATCACATCACGAAGGAAGAGTTCGTCCTACCACTGTGTTAAATACCCTACTGCTGTAATTCCCTGGAAAAAGATCTGAGTATTAACAAAACTGTTGTGACCTTCAAAGATTTTTATCAGCTGGATGATCTTTTTTTAACTTGTTCATTAATGAAGGCGTTGCAGGCTTCTGTCTATTGCCTAGAGGGCAGTTAAAAGTCAACCTGTGGGTCTGAAATCACATGTTGTCACATAAGGACAGGAGATTTCCTTCCCGAAAGGATATTAGTGACTCAGTTGGGGTTTATGACATAGTTACATGGTCACTATTAAGCTTCTAGATTTTATTGAATTCAAATTTCACTCTCTACCATGGTGGGATTCAAATCTATGTCCCCAGAACATTAGCGAGAAATTCTGAATTACCAGTCCAATGACATGACCAATACGCCATTACCTCTCTGTTTTGATCAGATCCATTGGATTTGTCTTCGTCGTCTGTGTTTGACCACCGTTTTGTTGTTGAATTGTACTTTCCTCATCTTGATTTTGAATATTAGAGAAAAGACAGCTTGTTTATTCATATTGTCTCATGCTAAGTTTGGAAATTAGAGTACAAGAGAAGTATTGAGAGCCATTTTACTTTTCTTACTTTGGTTAGTAAAGTTTGTTTGGGTATTCAATCCAGTACAATCTTGAGGCTTTGATTTAAAAGGTGTAGATCTGGATGAACACAGCAGGCCAAGCAGCATCAGAGGAGCAGGAAAGCTGACGTTTCGGGTCTGGACCCTTCTTCAGAAATGTTTTCTTTAATCACCAACATGGCCCATTTGTTTCTCTTTTGTACCATTACCCAGAATAAAAGCCTGTCCAGCAGGCTTCAGTAATTCATTCAAAATGGTCCATTTGCTATGAAAACAACTTATTCGTACAATAGCCGGCAAAACTGGTTGACAACTAAGTTACTTTGCATAATTAAACTATATTTGCTTAATCCCAAACATACACGTTCACACAACAGACAAGACGGCACAACTCTGCAGAGACGAAAACGAAAAATGCTGGAAATCACAGCAGGTGAGACAGCATCCATGGAGAGACAGCAAGCTGACGTTTTGAGTCTAAATGACTCTTCATCAGAGCTGTGAAGGAGAAAACAGAGTTAACGTTTTGGGTCCGGTGACTCTAAGGGAGTTCTGAGGAAGGGTCACCGGACCCAAAACGTTAACTCTGTTTT